CCCATTTTTCCAACTCTATCCTTTTTTTCCCTACCTAATCCACGACCTCTGAATTCATAATGGCAGCACCTGGCGCGTCTCTCGAGTCTCGTATGGGCCCAGTGCCTACAGAAGCAGCTCCTGCTGCTAGTGACGCCACTGCTCCCATCGCCGGTTCTAACATCACAGTCCAAGGTGCTACTCCTGCTCCTACTGACGCGACCCCCGATGAGCCTAGTGACCTTGTAGAGAGCAACTATGAGGTCGCTGTGAAGCTCGTAAATATGCAGGGGGACCCGAACAGTCCCCTATACTCGGTCAAGCGATTCGAGGATCTCGGAATGTAAGTAGCTTTTGTCTTATTTTTGCGAGATCGTGTTAGTTTAGTAAGAAATCCGGTACTGATGCCTCTTTTCTTAAAGATCGAAAGAGCTTCTTGAGGGAATATATTTTATGAACTTCAAGAAGCCTTCCAAGATCCAGGAGCGCGCGCTTCCACTCCTTCTTTCAAATCCCCCCACAAACATGATTGGACAGTCGCAGTCTGGAACTGGAAAGACAGCTGCTTTCGTTCTCACCATGTTGACTCGTGTTGATATGTCCAAGAACCAAGTCCAAGCTCTGTGTCTTGCCCCCTCGCGAGAGCTTGCAAGACAGATCATGAGTGTAGTTCAGACCATGGGCCAATTTACCAACATCAAGACCCAATTCGCCATTCCCAACATGGTAGCTAGGGGGCAGAGGATTGATGCTCAGATTGTTATCGGTACCCCGGGTACGGTTTTGGATTTGGTCAAGAAGAGGCAGCTTCCCGTTGACGGGATCAAGGTTTTCGTTTTGGACGAGGCCGATAACATGCTGGACCAACAGGGACTGGGAGACCAGTGTATCCGTGTTAAAAGGTGAGTTCCGTATCTTATAATGTCGGCCATTGACACTAATCCCACCAGTACTGTCCCACCCACCGCGCAGATCGTTCTCTTCTCCGCAACTTTCCCCGATCAAGTCGTCCAATACGCCAACCGATTCGCTCCAAACGCCAATCAGATTACACTGAAACACGAGGAGCTTACCGTCGATGGAATTAAGCAGCTCTATATGGACTGCGAAAACGAGGAAGACAAATACCGCGTGCTTGTCGAGCTCTACCACATCCTCACAATCGGCTCCTCGATCATCTTCGTTAAGAAGCGTGAAACCGCCTCTGAAATCCAACGACGCATGGAGGCCGACGGTCACAAGGTTGCCGCTCTTCACAGTGCCTTCGACGGTAATGAACGTGACAGGGTTATCGATGACTTCCGATCAGGAAAATCTAAGGTCCTCATCACAACAAACGTGCTTGCACGTGGTATTGATGTCGCAACCGTCTCTCTGGTCGTCAACTACGACATTCCGCTCGATCAGAACAACAAACCCGATCCACAAACCTACCTTCACCGTATTGGAAGAACCGGGCGATTTGGACGTGTCGGTGTTTCCATATCGTTTGTGCACGATAAGAACAGTTGGGCCGAGTTGAACGAGATATCCAGGTATTTCGGTGTGGAAATGACTCGGGTGCCAACTAATGATATCGATGTAAGTTCACCTCCCACTTTATATCCATCCATCTGGCCTTGGTGACTAACAACAGCTACAGGAGGTTGAAATTATCATCAAGAAGGCACTTAAGAGTAAGACTGCAGGTGTTTCAAAGGCCGAGTCGTAATCCAAGGACACCTCTTTGGATTTGCTTCGTGTTATTGCGCCTTGTTCCTGTTCGCAGAAGTAAAAATTGCGATGCGATTGAACGGATGTACAGATCTATGTCTTCATGAATGACGAAATTTTTATAGGACATGTGAGATGGGGTGATCACCTTTTTCTTTCCGTTTTTGTTTCCTATTTTCTTTGTTTTCTTTTGAAAGTCTGTATAATATCTTTATGAGGGGTTAAATTTCCTTTTTGTGGCCCGAGGTCTTTTTGGCGGAAAGAGCAAGTACTGTCGATGTTGTTAGAACATTGGTTGAGATATCAACTAGCTGAAAAGCTGCGGGATGAAAGTTAGTCAATCTATCTTCACTCTACTTAGACTGCCCTGAATGATTGAAACGCTTACTTGGTATGTGATAATATATGTGTTCTTTATGACTGATAGATCTGTCCAATGTGTGAGCCTGGTGCTCCGGTATGAAAGTCCAAAGCTGCATCATGAGAGCAGAAAGGAGGGGAGGTTTGATGCTCTCCGCCTGACCTTAGAACCGAGTGATATCCTGTGTTTTTGTCATGTAGCGCATCCGTTTTTTTTTTTTTTTTTGTTTGTTTAATTCATTAATTGTATGCAGCCCTTAAGCTATGACAATATCGCACTAACGCATCAGTTAAACATCGAGCTCAAATTGTATGCCCACCGCCGGAAAAATATGCTGGATTCAAGATATCCAAGAGAAAATTTTTCGTTGAGCACCAGGCTTGTTTTTTCTCTCTGGAGCTCTGGCTCTTGTGGGGATTTGAGGATGAATAGGCGCATGGGTTTTCTTTTGCGTTGCGGCTTAGTCGGGAAAGATGAACCTGAATGGTTTCGATGATAGGTCCGCTTGAAATTTTGATCCCCCTACTTCGTTGGTGCTGCGGTGAGATGAAGTATGTTGGAGATGCGAGGACGGGAGGAGGTGAGGTTAGGGGTGAGGTTGGAGATGAGGTTGGGGGTGAGGTTGGAGGTGAGGTTGGAGTGAGCCTACGCTAAATGATGTCGTTAAAAGCCCCCCTGCCAGGAGATATGCACTGCTACATAAAGGCATAGGATGGCTGTTGCCCTCGTTTTTCACCTTTGTGCTTGTTGTCCCCGAGCGCGTGGTGCCGTGCTGCAGCCACTTCAGGAGGGGCTGGGATAGAGCTTAAATGACACCAAACCAGAAACTTTAATGTTTCTCCTACTCGTTCCAACTTACACAGCTTTCCTCATGTTATCAGTTTGTGGGATTTAGGTTTATGCATTATGAGTGAGATTATATGCTTCACAGTCCTCCATACTTGTATCTTCCGCAGATAAATTCGTCTTCCATAAACGTGTGTGCGTGTGCATGCATCACGGCAGATCTAGAATTTTCAGAGGGTATTGGCCCTGGTAGGCGTAGCGGGATCCGGGAAGGCAAGGCTACTTGGGAAATTGTCTGAGCCGGGACCTACCAGCATAGGGTAAGGAACTCTGAGATCCTGTACTTGATCCTCCCAAACGTTGACAGACACAGTTTGTGAATCAGCTAGCACTAGTCTCATTCCTAGCCTCGCACTAATCCCCTACTAGTATCAAGCTGTTCTCTCATGCCCTGCCTATCATCTACGGATAGCATACATGTAATTATAATCTGGCACATGGGTGTGGGTTAGCGCGCGGTTGCTAGTCACAGAATATCACTCGGTAACTTCACACATATTCTCAGATGACAGGTGAACGACAATAACCCATGGAACGCGGCCTATAATCTATCCCTTAGTTGACGGATCCATCTTCTCTTTCAGGAGCTTTAAGAACGCCTGCACTTAAGCTACCACATGATGACACGGCTCGTTGATGGGCGATAATATCTTCCCGGAGACGCAACCCAGCTTTCCGCCTCAAGTCTCCAGTCGATGGAAAAAAGAAAGTTGTGAGACTACCTATTTTGTAACAGCAGCTTAAGTGCAAACCATCAACCATAGCTTTCTCCATACTATCCACATACCACCGCAGCTATAGCTCAGGTTCAAGTCGGGCTCTAACTTTAGAAGTAGAGGACTTGTACAAGACATGCGGCATGTCTCATAGCTCACGCATTCGACGCAAGATAGAAAAGACCATTCATGTTATGTTTACATCATAGGAACTTAGTCTCGCACCCATTTTCTACTTAGCAGCAAGCTGCTCAAGTGGGAGGGCTGGGTACGAGCCTATAGAAAACTGTGACTTAAGATCAATTGAATCTATAGATCTTCTGGCCTAAATGGCATAAGGCTGGACCATACTATATATTCGGTCCGTCGGGCTGGTCGGAGAATCACTAGGGGACGCACTACTATCGGGATGCTGCTATACGGGAGATAGCGATCTTTTTTGGTACCGTAGAATGGAGCTACAGTGTCTTATGTCCCGATAGAGATGAATAATTACTACCTTTTATAGGTCTCGCAGTCCCGCGTCGGCCTAATGGGTAATATAAGCGGCGAATGGAGCTAGCTTATATGACAATAATATTATGAGAAACGTTGAAAGTACTATAAAAGCCTTGAAAGACGCTTAATAGCTATCGACCCTTCGGGGCGTTATTAATCTGCAGATACCGCCAATTGATATATATGCTGTATTGGAATTGTGTGGTGTAAATTAATAATTTAAATAGACATACTCGTTAACCTCGTAAGTCTTCTCAAAGCTACTGAGCTAAGCCCGATCAGCTCTCTCAGCAACTATGACAGCAGCAACAGCCTCAGATTTTTACATCTGTAATTATTCCATCATCATAAAAAAGTGCATTGCGTGATTTGAAAGAACATCGTCTCTTACCCCCTCTTTGAAATTTTCTATTGAATTCAGTCTTCATCTCCTCCTCGAGCTCCATCCATCCTCCATACTATTTCCACGATATACATATCTTTTCCTTTTCGTACACAGCAAGCCACTGATTTCCAACCTGCATATGCACACGAAAGCTTAGCGATTTCGCCAATAACTCAATTTCACGCAATTCGGTTCCGCAATTTGAATAATTCCGCGAAATACCAAAAACTCTGAACTCAGTACGAGATATCCAATTTGACGATCACCAAAACAAGCACCGTAAACAATCCCAGAGCGATTGCAAAGCCTCATAGCTCGCAATCACAAACTCACAGTACATCCCCAGCTCTCCAAATCTCTAGAACTGTGAATTCGAGTAAAAACAATGTATATATAGGAAACAGACCAAGAATTCGGCATCAATTGAGGCTTACGGCAAGCTCCGTTGACCCCTGCACGCACCCGCGCTAGCGTCTCCCTCCCGTTCGTTGTGCCAGCCATCATGTCAGCCCGACAGCCCCAAGCCAATGGACCCATCTCCTCCGCTGAATGTGTTACCAAGAGACCCTCCTCACCGGCACTACCACCAGTGCCACAACCACTACCTGGTCCACCATCACCACCACCACCAGCACACTTACCACAGACACATATTCTTCCACGCCGCACCCGTGTACACAGGTACTCCCTATTTACAGAGTCCCTCAAGGCAGTCGAACCTCAAGGACGCGAGGCCAAAGGAGTCTTCAGAACCATGCCTGCTGCTGCACCAACCGTCAAGCAGACGGTCGAGGTCGGGAAGCCGGGCGAGTACAAAATCACGATCGGGGAAAGCTTGAGGCGACATGCTGACGCTTCGTCGGACGATGATGCCGCCTCCTCCGGGGATGTGTTTACGAGTGTGAAATGTAGCTATAGCTCTCTCTCACTCTCACTCTCACACCACTCACATACTCTGTTTACAGCTATACTGACTGAGTGCCTAACTATAGACAACTATAAACCCAACACCGCATTATCGAATCCCATTCCGCCTCAGCTCACAAAACATGCCCCGACCGGTCCTGCCCCATACACACTGTCGCTCCCAGGCGCCGCCGCCAAAGCCATCACATACACTGGTAGTCAGCACGTGCATCCTCCGCGGAAAGCAGAGTGCATACTCCTCTTCGACCACACCACGCAGTCTTTCACCCTCGAGAAGCTCACAAGTACATTTACGTTCAACGCCAAAGTCTATGCCCCTGCGCACCCTGCACTGCCGCTCCGCCCGCCAATCCCGGACGGCGAAGAGACTGACGAGGAGGAGCGAGAGGAGGACAACCCGTTCGATTACCGCCACTTCATCAACAAGAAGCCGACTACAAAATCGCGAGCCGAGCAGAAGAAGGAGCGCGAACAGCGCAGAAAGGAGGCGCTGAAGCGCGCAGGCAAGGATGTGCCGGAAGATGAGCCGGAGGAGGAGGACGACGAGGAAGACCTTGGCCTCGGAATCTCCTACAATGGCCGTCCGGCGGTCAGCGGTAAGGGATTTTTGGCGTCGCCTGCCATCGGGCCAAGGAGGAATGTTGGCGGGAAGTCGCCCTTTGCCGGGAAGAAGCCTGTGGGGATGTCGCCTGGTGTGCGGTTGCCTAGTCCGGGTCGCGAGAGCGAGAGCGACGAGGATGAGTCGGAGGAGGCTGATGATGAGGAAGAGGATGACGAGGAGATGGCGGCGCCACCTCTAATACCCCCACCACCAGCGCCGAAGAGGAAGGCACCCGTGCAGAGGAAGAAGGCTGCGGCGGCGGCCCTCGTGGTTGAGGAGCCGGAGGAATTGGTGTTTCCGGAGCTGATGGCCATTGATGAGCCATCAGAAGAGGAGATCAGCGACGTTGACGAGAGCGATGAGGACGCTCCGCCGCCACTACAGAAGCAGCAAGCGCCGCTTGTGGTGGAGGAAGAAGAGGACGACGAAGAGGATGACCTGGCGAAGCTGCTGGAGAAGGAATTGGGTGATGGCGACGGTGACGAGATCATCTTCGATGATGATGGTGAAGTCCGAGGCGGTGGTGCCGCAACAGAGAGTGGGTGGGGTGCGGAGAGTACTTCGGCAGCCACCGGCGGAGGCCCCATCAGTATTGCGGGCATGATGGGCGCTGACGATGATAGTGAGACCAGTGAGGAGGAGTAACTTCCTTACCTGAGTTTTTTATTTACTTTTTTATTAAAAATTCTCCATTTTCACCCTTTTTTTTTTTTTATTTATAAAAGAGTCTTTTTCTACTTGGTTTCTCTTAGTGATATTGGGGGTTTCCTTTCGGTGTTTTCTTTTTCTCTCTCTTTTTTTTTATTATTATTCGGTTCTTTTCTTTAAAGGTTATTTATTTATGCACCCACCCGGGTTGGGTTGGGTTTTGACGGGGCGGGGGCGGCCGGCAGGCGCCGGTAGTAGTTACTTGGGACAGGGCAGGACACGAAAAATCTACAAACAGACCTAGTGGTCTAGTGGGTTATATGAAAAAACGAATGATCGATGGCTTTCTTTGTGTTCTTTTCTTTATTATATTATTATTATTCGTAGTTTTCTTTTATTCTCTCTTTGAGATGTATATTAGAAGATTATATCTTGCCTTTACTATAGGTGATTCAATGAGAGGACATTGATTGATATTATATGCTGTTGGCCTCTTTTTGTTGAGGTTGAATTGATTGGGAGTTGGGGTGAGGTTTTTGATGCCCTGCACGGGGTATCACTCGCATCTGTGCACCATGGTGTTTAGTTTATCCTCCTCACACTTTATTTATTTCGCCGCTTCTAGCTCCCTAAAATTAGTTCAACCAACAGTGGGCGCGGCAAGCGCTGGAAATTGATGCCTCTATCCGTAGTAGTTTGGGTTATTGTTCGCACACGTTTGAAAGTCTGCGTGTAGGTGAAAAAAAGCTAAGGCACGAGACTTCAACCGGAGCGATGCAGATTCTTCTTTTGGGTTAGTTCTTTTCTCATAATTCCCTTTAATCGCCTCATCCTTTCTTCTTTCGTTGTGATGCAATGACGAGTGCAACTACAAAGGTGTATGGCCATGGCAACGAGAAGCCACTTTGTATGGACATAAACATAGTCCGTGATCCCTCTTCAGTTTACTGTGCCTTCAATTGTCGATGATATCTGGTCAAATGGCTAGCAATAATGATAGCCTAATCATAGCTCTCGACAGCATAACGTTATCCCTCCACAGCAGTAAATGTGGGTGTGGATATGTCGCAGGGTCCTTAGTACTAGTGGTGTCAACATTCAGGAGGCCTCGAGGCCCAGAAAACCACTCCAGAGGTCTTTCATCCAAGTTTGGGTTATAAAAGGCCGAGATAAGGGACTCTTGACGGCTAGTAGAGTAAGAGATTATAAAAAGATATCCCCACGGCCTAGCTATAGAGGAGCTTTTTTAGGTCCAGACTGGCCGGTATATATATTTGGTTTGATCGCGGATATCTTTGAGGTTAGTTAGATATAACTATAAATCCGCACTTGATAGAAGATAAACACTCTAATTTTGGCGACATACCTGGTAGAAAATGCTTATAAAGCTGGTGTTTCTCATTTACGTTGAGTGTTGGAGACGATGGTAGTTCCCAAACCACCGCTAGGAAATCTTTCATGCTCCAAGGCGCTATATCACTAATCATAATGTGCCGGGGAGTGACATCGGTGTCAGTGACTAGTGCCTCTGCCCTAGCCGCTAAAACTAGAGTTAAACTCCGGTTTTTCAGGAGGTGTATAACGTTGTGCGGCCAAAAGATGGCATGTCTCCCTACTGCACGGGGGTAGGTTGTCCCTGGCGGACTGCCGGGATCCAGCCTTCTTGCGTTGGCTCAGAACTAGATTTATTTATGACAGGTCAGGCACTAGGGCTTTGCTGGGAATCTGTCAATAGTAGCGGTAGGATGAAACGTTGGCAGGATTAAACCTCGCTGCTTTTAAATACTGGAAGCTCAATAAGGGAAGTAAAGGTAGAGAGTGTAGACAAGAGGGGTAAATAGAGAAAAGAGGGGAGAAAGGAGAGGTAGATACGAGGAAGGTGCGGACATGGCTATCCAAGAGATGGCTCAAAGCTAGCAGAATCAAAAGCGAGGGGGAACGAGGTAAGGTTTAAAGAGATGGCTACTCTTGATTGAGGGATAGAACTGAATGAGGACTGGGGGGTGCGGGAATGGGGGGAGTGGGACGTGGGACTGAAAAATGCAGAAATTGGCTAAGTGTAATTCTTTGCTTCATGGGTGGAGTGATCGACCATCAAACATTCTCTCTTTGTCCCTATTCCCCATCGCGCCCAGGACGTGCCCTTACACTCCTCCTTACCATGCCCCAATCACTTCACCCCATTCACCCTTATCCGGTCGTTCCTGAGGTTCGGAGAGTGGTTCTCCCTCATCCCTCCGCTCGTTCTCCGCCATGCAAGCTTAAGGCCTATAGCTATATAATTTCTCTAAGGATTTTGAAGTGAAAATCCCAGGCCCATGCCCAGGGTTAACTTATCAAACCATAAAAAAGTGCAAGTAGGTGTAGTGTAGATCAAAGTTATATGCTTATATTTGTTCGATGTAGATTCAGTCCTCTGGCCTAGGACAACGATGTGAGCTCTGGTTTGGGTTGTTGATGAGTACCCCCATTAAACACCATACCGTATTTTGGTTGCGTATACAATTAATGAAGTGATCAACCAACCAACATTTAATTAATGAATTAAACAAAAAAAAAAAAAAAAAAACCAACCAACATTGTGTGCTGGAAATTTATAGCCGAGTGATATTTTGTGATGCGATGTTCTTGGCTTGGAGTAATCTCTTTAGGCGATCTGTTGTATTATTGATAGTTAGAAATTAAACTCACAAATTACACCTAAACTCTCAGACATTATATTCGCCACGCTTTAGACTCGCTATCTATTATTTACAGAAAAAAGAGACATGAATGAAACCCAATTCGCCAGTAAAAAAACTCCATCCCAAGTACACTTACCCATTAACCCATTCTCAATAGTGTCTATGTTCTCCCAGCAAGCGTCTCCAGTCTCCCAGCAAGCACCTTATGCTTTGCAACGACGCCGACCCACTCTTCTCCTTCCCCGCCTCCACCTCCACCGCCAAAGCACTCAACCACACCCAGCATGGCTCCAAACTCACCGCCCAATCTCCCTAGACTCCCCGCCGCATATAGAACCTGCGTCAATAGGCTCTCCCTGCCAGCCTTGTCCTCAACCCCGCTGAGATATTCACCCAGCACCCCAGTGAGCAGCCCCACAAGGTGCAGAACAAACGAAGCAAGAGGATCCGGCGGCTGTCCCCCCTCTGGATCATCCTCATCCCTCGCAGAACTCAATGTACTCGATGAGCGCGATCTAAGAGTCTCCGTACGCGAGGTGAATGTAGGCGGCGAGGAGATCGTAGGTGATGCCGATGTAGCAGCAGTCGACTCCGCCGGCAATGAGTTCGGAAAAATACTCCTGTACATCCCAACGATCGCGAAGCTCTGCTCACGGAACACCTCGATCCAACGCTTGAGGTAGCGTTCTTTCCCAGCCGCACCCGTCGCTAACTCCTTCAATGGCTCGAGGGCGTCCAGCAGGCTCGACAGGTATGCGGCACGACACACCAGAAAGAGGCCTCGTAATCCGCGTTCGTCAAGAGTCTGTCCAGATGTGCACCGGCGTAGGAAACCAATTGTTTTCATTGCTGTAGGAAGTTTCAGGGGGCCGCGAAGCGTTGTGATCAGGTTGGTGACCATGGTTTGTTGGAGGGATGCGCAGGCGGTTGCAACGGAGGCAATAGTAGGTGAATTGGGGTGGAGAGCGTGTAGACGGCGTACATGCGCGAGAAGATCGAGAGCTGTCGGGTGCGAGGACGACGCAATGAGGGTTTGGAGGTGAGTAGGGAGGTGCAGTATGTCTAGTATGCGGTCGAGGTTGCGGGAGAGCAGATGTGTAGAGGCGCGGGTGGTGAGGTGAGGGCCATCCCGTGTAAAGGTGGTTGTGAAGTGGGTGATCTGGTCGTCGACGGTAGGTAAGGTGGTAGTAAGGGTGTCGAGAGAGGTATTCAAGGAGGTAATGGCCTCTGGAACGGAGGAGAGATGGTGCGAGGAGGCGATCAGTTGCTTGTGGGAGCGCGAGGAGAGCTTCTGGAGATTGAGAGTAAGGCTATGGAGAGAAGCGGAAAGGGACGAAGGTTCGGTTTCGAGTATCGAGGTGAGTGAGAGGGAGCTTAGACGGGTGAGGTAGGTGCTAGATGTGGTGGGGTCAGGCGGGGGTGCCGTGGGCGGCATGTGCGGGAGTAGAAGCTCCAGGAGAGGGTCAGTAGTTGATGTACTTGATGGAGTCGTCATTGTGGTAAGTGTGAAGCTGTAGAGGGCGTAAGTGATATTCACAGATACCGAGTGCTCAGTGATGTCTGTAACTTCAATTAGATCTTCCGAATAGGTAGGTTGTCGATGTTGACACCCCGCGGCCGTTACCCGGACGAGTAGCGGGGTGAAGGGTGGTACCTAGAGCACCCGGTACATATACATGTAGGTACATGATGGAGCTCGAGACAGATATATATATAGTCAGCTTTCTGAACCTGGAGCCTCTGTATGGTATATCTCACCCACATGATCCCAAAATCAGAAATTGATTTTGAATAGGGACCACAAGTATAAGGCTGAGGCATGACATACAGCTTTAATTAATTAAGAGACTTGGAGGCTTTCTGTTTTTTTTTTTTTTTAGTAAAGGATAGAACTAGCTTGTCTAAATTCTATAATATAAATACCGAAATGTAATTACATGAGGTGTCTCACTGGTCTTGGATTATTCGTAGGTTTTATGTGGCCGAGTGATATATTATGACTTATTGGCGTGTACCCCGCTGTCTCAGTCTCCCCCGCTTAGCAAAACCCAATCCGAGAACAGAATGGGCATCAACACTATTTGCAATACTTACGTGATATCCTATTTCACGGCTTATATAGAAGGAGCAAGAGTGTAATATGAAAAAAGCGGTCTAGATGAAAAGCTCCCACGATAAGGTCACCTAATATACCAGCACTAATGTCCTCCGTACACTCATTTGTATATTCAATTCCTTAGCCCATAGTAATTTCGAAGCTAGGTAAATCCTGCAGACCCATACAATGTACCCGGAGCGTTTGTAGCCCCGTATGCATCTCCGCAGCAGTAACCTACATGTAGGTAAATGCAGTAGTCTTGGCATTAGCACAACCCCACCAAAAGTGATTCGATCCCAGCTCTAACCCCAACCCACACAACGACCTCACCCCCACAAAGGAAAAGAAACACCCCCTTCCTTCATCACACTCTATCAATTGCCGGTCTCCCTGTTTTGCTTCCGGTGTGAGAAAGCTCAGAGGCCTGAGAGAGGTAGGGGTGTCCCTTACCCCCCATCAGCAGGCTGACCCCTCCTCTCCTCCGGTTGGCTACAGACTAATTAAACTTCAGTTATAGTAATACAGAGATTCGCAAACCTATTGCCCATCATGCCGCAAGCTCCCCTCGCGCCAAAAGACGCAAGTCTTTTCCGACAAGTTCTCAAATGTTACGAAACCAAGCAATACAAGAAGGGCCTCAAAGCCGCCGAAGTCCTCCCCCTCCTTTCCTCCAGCACGCGCACACTAAAACTAACCCCCCCTTAGCAAATTCTCAAACGCAACCCACATCATGGTGAAACGCTCGCCATGAAAGGTCTAATCACCAACTCCCTCGGCCGCACAACCGAAGCCTTCACTATCGCCAAAGAGGCCCTGAAACAGGACATGAAATCGCACGTCTGCTGGCACGTCTATGGCCTCCTCTACCGGTCTACTAAGAACTTTGAGGAGTCCATAAAGGCCTACAAAATGGCGCTGCGCTTCGAGCCAGAGTCTCAACAGATCCTACGCGACCTTGCGCTCCTCCAGATTCAGATGCGCGACTATGTGGGATATATTGAATCACGGCGACAGATCTTGCAGGGGAGACCACAGCTCCGACAGAACTGGACCGGTCTGGCAATTGCGCAGCATTTGGCAGGGAGCTATGCGGAAGCTGAAAATGTCATGGTCAAATTTGAGGAAACGCTGAAGGTGCCTGTAGGAAAGGGCGATGTGGAACATAGTGAAGCAGGACTATACAAGAATATGATTATTGCGGAATCCGGAGATATTGAACGGGCGCTAACGGACCTCGAGAAGATCTCAAAGACTACATTGGACAAGATCTCAGTGTTAGAAAAGCGGGCCGAATATCTGCTGAAGCTTGAGAGGAAAGAGGAGGCAGTGGGGGCTTATAAGGTGCTGTTAGAGAGGAATGCGGAAAAAAGGGCGTACTACCAGGGTCTAGAGAAGGCAATGGGATGTGAGGAAGATACAGCGGCACGAAAAGCGCTGTATGCCGAGTATGCGGAAAAAAACCAAAGGAGTGACGCACCCAGGCGGATCCCCCTGGATTTCCTAAGCGGTGATGAGTTTAGGGAGGCTGCGGATGTGTATCTGACGAAGCTACTCAAGAAGGGTGTGCCATCGACTTTTGCGAATGTTAAGGCCCTCTATGCTGATGCTGAGAAGCGTGCGACCATTCTCGAGCTCGTCCAAGGATACGCTGCATCGCTTGAGAATGAGGAGCCACAGGTAGTCGAAACTCCTACCAACGGAGATGCGAATGGTGACGAATCAGCAAAGACTACTAAGCCGAGCGAGTTCAAGCTGTGGACTCTCTATTTCCTAGGGCAGCATTACGACCATTACCGCACACGTAACACAGAACGGTCGCTGGAATACATCAACAAAGCCCTCGAGCTTAAACCTGAGCAGGTAGAACTCCACATGACACTTGCACGTATTTATAAACATGCCGGAAATCTGCAAAAAGCCATGGAGAAGATGAACGAGGCCCGTAATTTCGACAAAAAGGATCGCTACATCAACACCAAATGCGCCAAGTACCAACTCCGCAATGACCACAACGAGGAGGCCCTCGAGACCATGAGTCTATTTACAAGAGTACACTCCTAGCCCTCCCAGATCTTTGTAGAACACTGACAGGAAAACTAACCACCATTTCGTAGAACGATGCACATGGCGGTCCCCTCGGCGACCTCCTCGAAATGCAATGCGTTTGGTTTATCACCGAAGATGGTGAATCCTACCTCCGCCAGGGCAAGTTCGGCCTGGCTTTGAAACGTTTCCACGCCATTTTAAAGATTTTTGAGGACTGGACCGACGACCAGTTCGATTTCCATAGCTTCTCACTCCGGAAGGGACAGATCCGCTCATATGTTGAGATGCTCCGGTGGGAAGACGCCCTGCGCTCTCACCCCTTCTTCTCGCGCGCCGCACTCGGAGCCATCAAGGCCTATATAATGCTCTCCGATAGACCCCACCTCGCACATTCGTCCCTCTCAAATGGCAACAATAAGAAAGTTGACTTCGAAGGTCTCTCCATTGCAGACCGCAAGAAGGCCCTTAAGAAAGCCAAACGCGAGGCTCAAAAGGCACAGGAAAGAGCCGTCGAGGCCGCTGCCAAAGCAAAGGAAGAGAAGGCCAAAAACGCTCAGGTTGCCAATCTCGACGAGGAGAAGAAGAAGGATGACACCGACCCCTTAGGAACAGAGCTTGCACAAACTAAAGAGCCACTAGAAGCTGCTCTCAAGTTTTTGAACCCACTGCTTGAGTTCTCACCAGGCAAGCTGGAGGTCCAAACGAGTGGCTTTGAGATCCACTCTAGGCGGAAGAAGTGGCTGCTGTCAGTAAAGTGCCTCCGTGCCGCGCAGAAACTTGATCCCGAGAGCCCTGTAGTACACGAGCAGATCATACGCTTCCGAACCATGGTCTCAAAACTTTCTGACGAGGATATCAAAGCCCCGTCCAAGGAGATACTCATCTCAACGCTTGAGGAGATCCTCCCCGCAGCTACCGACCTGACTGCCTACAATGACGAGTTTTCGGCTAAGCATTCTCAGAGCGCTCCTCATATCCGTGGAGGTACCTTTTCCCTTCCCCGCCCTTTGCTACCCGCACACTAATACACGATAGCACTACGAGCCCGCCGCTTCTTGAACGCTGATACGCCCACTACACCGCTGTTTGATGCGCTGGACCAAGAGGGAATATCTCTTTATGATGTGCTGCAGGGACAGTCACTGCTCCAGGAACTGAAGGCCCCGGAAGAGAAGATTAAGGAATACAACCAGAAGGCTGCTGCGAAGTTCCCGGACGCAGTGGTATTCAGAGAGAAGGCTGGGACGGAATAAAAAGATTAGTTAGATATTTTTCAAAGAAGAAAAGAATATAGCCATCAGTTAAAAGTCAGGGTTTGTGATTTGGCCAGGTTTGGAAAAGAAAATTGCATGTATATTTTTTCTTCTTTCCTTTCTTCCCGTCTGAATAGTGAATTTTAGTTCAGCAAAAGGTAGTCTGGGGGTTTAGAAAAAAGGATTTAAATTTATTGGGGGAATTCCAAGGAGCAAAAGTTTCCTTTTCTTCTGTAAGCTGGAGGGTGATAAGAATGGAAGTGATGGTTTGAACTGTTTTTAATATGTTCTACTCGATTAAATTGAGCAGAATACTCTTGAATCAAACTCTGGGCCAATAGATGTGTAGAACATAGATGTTAAATAAATGGCTAGCGCCCCGCACCTGGTGAAACTCCTCCCGTAAGAACTAAGTTATTGTTGATTGAAATATATAGGATGAAGCCGAGGACCAAAGTCGTTTCACACTCACCGTAGTTACATGTAGGTACATATATGTACATATATGGCATTATTTTTCTTGTCGTGGGGAATCCTCAGTGTGTCGACGAGTCGAATAAATTCAATCGCCTAGCTCTGGAGCATGCACTAACCAATACCCGGAACCCAAATAGATGACATCCCTGTGGCTTCCTGATGTGGCATCATCTTAGATTCATGAAAATATCTGAATGATGAGAGGTATGACTGAATAAGTATTTCTATGTTAGCCAGCTTTCTACCGAAATCAAGATACCTCATGTCTAAAAATCGAGCCGAGCCTCTAGAAGAATAATAAGGGGTATAGGAAGAATGGTTTCGTCGAGAACTTGATTGAAAGTCTAGCTCCAGTCTAGGCCCGACTATGATCCTTATCCTGGTTCAAATACCCAAAGCTACATGTAGGTAATCAAGTTCTTACCTCTGTCGATCTGCCCTGGTCTCGTGGTCAAGCAAGAGCCAAGACGTACAGTTATGAAGTGACATTCATTACGTTGAGATCTGCAAAGCCCGAGTCAGAGCTCTCAACCGGCCGAGCACCACGATGAACGCGGAAGAGGAAACACCGGCCACTAACTATCATGTCTCTTGGTCTAGAAAGACGACCTCTCATGGGTTATTACTCGCACTTCACGTTCAAATCGGTATCGCGGATCAAGAGGCAAGAAGATTTTGATATATTCGATTCTATGAACGTTATCTATATAAACAGAAACGTAATATGATTGAAGACAAGACAAGATAAACAAGAGAACCCATATCTTCGCCCACTATTAGAACAAGAAGAACATCAAATAGAAACGATAATAGTACAGCACACCCAGAACATTCCTGTCGCTGAATATTATAAGGCGATTATAGAATGACCTAGTCGGCAAGAACGCAAATTAGAATACTCGTGATTAAAAGAACATGGGTTTCGGAGAACTTACATAGCATATGCCATCACAATTTTGACAAGAATTTGTAACATGTGGCTGGGATACCTCGTATAAGATAGGCCCGGGGCTATAACGAGATTCCACTCGCGCCTGTAAATGGTTTTGACCTTGATGAGTGGAGTGGCCCCTTACAACAATAATAGTGGAAGGATGGTCCTGGGCTTGGATCTGAGCTCGATGGCGAGCAGACTGGGCATGAGCTAAGGAAGTTTGAGCATGAGTTAGGGAAGTTTGAGCATGAGTTAAAGTTGTATGAGCCTGAGTCAGAGCAGCCTGAGCCTGAACATCAGCAATTTGAGCCCGGGTTCTATCAATCTGAGCCTGAGCCTGCGCTTGGGGTTGCTGCAGTAGCTCGGAGTTTCCGGTGGGTGTATACCCTCTTGGGAGGGTCGTATGGACCACGATCTGTTGTCTATTCTGTCTCTGGTATTCTTGGCCCCTATGGGTAATGGAAATATGAGATCCTTGGGGCAGCACAAAAGTTCCTATCTGTTGAACAGCACCCGCTAGTACCAGACCTTGGTTTGAAGGAAATGGGTGTATCTCATCAAGTGCATGCTCATGAGAGTGGTGGATTTCCATAATAGGCATCGTGGCGGTTATGACCTTAGGAGTAAAGACGATAGGCTCTTTTTTAAAAAAGTAGTTATATATATGTCAGGTTTTATATTGGCGTAGCAGATAGAGGGGGCGTGGAATAAAAAGAGAGTGTGTGCTAATTCTGGTGGCTATTTATTGCTTTCTTTATGATACCTGATGACTTCATGAATAGAAATTGTTTTTAATCTAGGAGGGCCTCTAGCTCTATACTCTCCCTATATGTTCTCAATTGTAAATCCAATCGAAGAGTAATTTCAATTCAATAGCGTATGAATTATACTCTTCTATACACTCATGTTGTTACCGTTCGCAAAAACACTATCTTGAAGCTGTATAACTTGATCTATTTACCGTATAATAAGAGGCCCAATGCGGTCACTAGTAGATACGACAGGAATCCGAAACTAATCCTACACTTCTTCAAGGATGTTGCTTTAGACTGATAATTCCTATTAAACAGTTAGTAATGCTACACCATTGACCCAACATACTTTATGCAATTAGACTCACTAACTCCACAACTTAAAACCCGATAGCCCGTAGCGTAGTTTACTAACTGACAAACACCGGCACAGTTTATCAGACAGCCGAGTGACAATTTATGACCCTTGCATTTTTAGTAAGGATTGAATTAGGCGCCAAACCATATGCAACGACGTCGCCTCTCGGTTACGGGGTCAATGATACTTGAGTCAATAACTTGGCTAATCGCTAAATGTGGTTAGTGTGGTTTCTTGGGAGTGTTATTTCTACACGTTGAAGAATTGAATCATAGACTTGGTATTGAATAAACCACAAAAACGCAATTGAATTACCAAGGAAAACAGCTTCATGCCGTAGAGTTACTAACACCAGCCCTCGTTCTAAAACAATCTACCATAAAGAAACTCATTACACGTACAGGGCTGCTTGATAGAGAGTCTAAGCTCTGCCCTTACCTTTGCCTTTTCCAAAGTCATTATCATCATCTTCAGCCAATGCCTCCATGATTTCCTTCCTTTCCTCCTCCTCCATCAAACTCAAACGAATTGCCATCTCTATCTCGTTCTCAAAATCTTCCTCTTCCTTGTCGTTACTCTGATACTTTCCTTTTCCTTTCCCAACAATCGGTCGACCGTCTATTTTATCTAAAGGAAGTCGTTCCCATCCTCGGCTTTTCGAAATGGACATAGGGGGATGTAATCCTGTTGAGTTGCTATTTTCCGGTCTAGAGGAGGATGAAGATGCTCCTGAATAGGGATAGGGCGAGTAGTGACTAGCAGAGTGGTTGATGCTCGAGCCGAAATCAGAATAAAGGTAGTCGGCATCTTCCCATACCCCATCCTTTGGTTTGGAGCTCCCGCCATCTCCAGGGTTATTTTCCAGAAGGCTTAACCTCAAGGCCTCTGCCAAATCCATATCCACATCATCATGACCATCTTCGGTTGGAGTCTTGTATTCGTCCGCAGTGCTATAGCTGCTCACAGAGGGCGCCGCATCAGGAGTGACAGTCCTGCTGCTCGTAACGCTCTCCCCCAAATCTGTAGGAGCTGAACCGTTTTCACGCTCGAACGTTTCACGGCTAATCATTGTTGCGTATTCGACCATTTCCTCTTCACTTAAGGCCGCCCTGCCACTAGCTATACCATAACGGTTCTTTAAATCCTCTTTTTCTTTGCGCTCTCGTTCCTTCTGTCTGAGGAGATGTTTCGTTTCCGATTCAATTACTGCCTTTATTGCGCCATTGCCTCTAGAAGGTGCTCCACCAGCTCTAGACCTCGTGCCTTGTTTACGTCGTTTTCTTTCTCCTTCTATGGCTGGAGATGAAAAGCTCCAATAGCGGATGTGGGTGCCCAAAGCTACTGCCCCACGAAGAGATGTCGCGTCCGGGTCGAGGATGATACATCGTGCGGCAAACTGGTTATCTCCAATACCAAACTCATCTTGAACGCCGGCATCAGCCTGGGCCAATCTACGTCTGGCGCGCAACGTAAACCGAGAATGAATATCGCGTATCCGTGAAAGTGTGGAACCTAGAGGATCCCAAGCCTGGACCAAACCGTCTGTACCACCATGGACCAAATATAGTGACGAGAGCGCCAGACTTGCTATCTGAGGAGAATCTGTGTGTATAACTCTTAACGGTTCATGAACTCCAACACCCGCAATATCCGGGAGTACAGGACTACGGATGTTCCAGAGGAAAATAGATCCCATAGAAGTACCAACAGCGAATAGCCTAGCATTTCCTCCGGGCACGTCCGCATCCGTTCCGGGTTCTTCGCGATCGGATAGAAGTGCGAGATTAGAGTTATCCATTGCCGTGGCTGTGATAATATGAAACCCTTTTTCTCCAAGTTTGAGTTGTGTAGCGATCCACCTATCCGTGAAGTCCGCAGCCGAATTCGGACTGTCATTCGGACTGCTTTCCATTTTAATTGTATTTGTAATTTTCTCGGCCGAATCGTCAACATATCCTCCGAAAAGAGAGCTTTCCGAGGCGCCGATCTCCTCCGTAGGACTTATTACCAGTAGCCCACGAACAAAATCACTCTTGGCCCCAGAACGTGATGTGCGGGGAGCTAAATGATACCTATACAGAACCGACTCTGTTACATCATCCTGGGGCCGAGGTCGCCTCTCGATGCTCTGCTTTTTCCCCATGACTACATTTTGATCAGGCCAGTCCACCTCAATGAACCAATCCATTCCCCAGCCTTCCCATAATTCCTTAACCTCTCCATAACTCATTTTCATCAATCTTTCATCCCTTGCCTTTTCCCATTTGGCCTGCTGATCTTTTGTCGGGGACGTTCCGGGCATCGAAAAAGTTGAGTTGCACAAAACAGTTGTGGTTCGTGCTGTTTGTGGTATTATTTTCCAGATGTCAAATGAGTCCTTAAGGTAGTACACCTCGCCGAGAGCATTAACGACCGCAATCCAGAAATTCTTTTGTTTCATCCTCTTGATTGAATAGTCGTCATCCACCTTTATCGACACAATTGGTATGCCGGGAGAAACAGTGAATTTCTTGGCACGTGTCAAACCGTTCTCCTTCCCAAAGCTTAACCCATGGATTGATACGACACCCCGGCTGTTACCAACCACAACCCCCGCACGCCCTTGGGTTGTCTCGAGTACTCCACTAGAACGTCTTTTCGCAATCCAAAGAGCCGTCACAGCAGGACGAAAACCATCGATCTTCTCGTGCTCGGGTCGAATATACAGTCCAGGTGGTGACGCAGCTATATATGGCGATGTATATGGGTGAATATAAACTTTTCCATCCGGTACATTCTCGCCATAAATCCAGCCAATATCCTCTGAAAGATCCATCACTCCGGATGTCCCCATATCCGTTGCTACCTCAAAACCATGAAGCCCTAGCAAAGGTTGATGGAGGTCGGGCCTTTCCTGAGTGCGTAAGGAAGCCTCCGCTATCGGAGGCCTCTCTATCCTGCCTTTATCAAAAATTAGCGAGAGGGGTAGGGCACCCGTAGATCATATGTCTTACCAATTGTGGGGTCACTCGCACTAACAACTCCGGGAGTATGGACAGATGCGTGCAATAGCCTAACACCTCTCGGCGTGAAACTGGCTGTTATATGACTTACGCTCCATGCTGCCGCAGGATATGTGATGATAATGCTTCCATGAGAATTCTGATTTGTAGGACTCGATGCGCTTGTAGCAAGGGATGCCTTTCCTTTGCTTAGACTTCGCAAAAGACGTGTGCGCAGGATGTATTCCCTTCTCCATGAATTAATGCCATTATCCGATGCGGATAGACGTGTAAAATGACGCCTATCTTGTGAAGAGGACAAGGCGGGGGATTCGTGTATATCACTGGATGATTTATCGGCAATTATAGAAGGAAAGTAACGAGAGAATGCAGATCGCCACGCATCTGGTGAAGTTACAAGAGAATAGAATCGCCGCGATATAAGAGCGGCGGTTAAAAGTGTTTGCGGATCGAGAAAAGATAGTGCATGGATCAAAATCTCTGAATAATAAAGATGTCAGATAAGGTGTTTTAGTTATCGTGCATTTTTATTTTAGGAACTGTAATAATACCGTTGGGAAACCTGGAGATCGGGCTATCTCTCCTTCCGTCCCAGTTCGTCTTCTTGATATGAAAGGCCGTCTCCGTTGTGGGAGAAACACCCATTGCCTCATACTTTCGGATAGCATCTTTCTTAGAGGGATATTCGCTGCCTCCATCATCCCGAGGTAGACCCTCTACCGAGCTGTCCTCGGGTGCGTTCAACCGAGACGTTCGCTCAGGAAACCCCTCCCCCGAGGCAGCATCGTCAATGACGCCACCTGAACCAGTAACTGCCTGGGGATCAACGCGGATGGGAGGTTCTGTTGAGACCGAGACCGGGAAGCCATGTTGAGCTGTTTGGTTATAGAGAACTGAGGCTGGCTGGATGATGGCTGTATCAGAGGATCCGTTGATAATATCGGGGTGCATAAAACGGGGAATTCAGGAACCGGGGGAAACAGTAAAAGAAAATCGACCTTTTACAAGGAAGTCGATATTTCAAAGGATCAAGCGAAACAAATCACTTGATGGGTTTGGGAAGCGATAGGGTAGTTGAACTAAATCTCTAATGAAAGGAGGCAGCACGGTTGATGTTAATGGTGAGGGACTGGTGAGAATGTCTTTTTTTTTTTTAGAAGCTGTTTGAGGTTGCACAAAGAGGAGATGAGACGAAGGGCTGATGAGAATTTATGCTTGTAAGCGAATTTTACATCCCCGAGTCTGCAATTTACAACTTTGGTTTGAACTGCCAAACAACCTGAATTTTACCACATGCCATTAATAGGGTCGAAATTAAGCAGGGCCCGGTGGACAATGATGCTTCACTAATATGCAGCCAATCCCTTCTTATCTCTCCGATCGCTTCGATGACTGGACGACCTGGGTCATACACTCTCACTCGCTGTAACAATTCAGCCGGTGGACGTAAGCCGCACCCCCATCCTTGCACATCAACGGGATGCAGGCTCTGCTCAGGCTAGCTAGTAAAACACGATGTCACACAGTCCCTAGAGATGGTACGGGATGGGAGATGTTAATCCTGACTCCTGGGGCGCCCCGTAGCTGGCATTTGGGATCCAACGGAAAGAGTCTGGTACCTACCCGCACCCAGTACTCTGCAGCACGTTCCAGCAGCAAAGAGAAATGATATGCGTGCCTGCCTGCATGTACTTGCAACACTCATGTCTTCCCCGCGAAATCCCCCCCGGAATATACACCGGGCAAGCTAGGTACATGCCCATGTTTACTGTGTGATTTTGTTACTTTACATAGATACTTCATACTCGTAATTATGTATTGTCCACCCTCGTCAACTCACTAGGAGAGGAAGCCTTTTATTTACCTCTTCTCCGATCCGAGGCAAATCCCGAGACAGGACCCTTTCGGTAATCGAAGCGTGCTCTCCACGTGTGTGCGTGTTAATAATTGATTTTTTGTACATTCCCGAGCAGGTGGGCGGCGAATTGAGTGACACAAGCGGGGAAGATGTGTTTCAGGGTGCGAGGAAACTACTCCACAAGATTGCTACGTTGCCATGGAACTACATGTATTTACGCCAGTCGAGGCGCCGCACCGTATGTACCCTCCTACCTCCATGTTCGTGCTTCCAGAATTGCCGGAAGATGGCCGGTTTATGCAATTACTGAGCCGGCTCCGTACTTCTTCGTTACCTGAATACACACACTTATTTACCCCCGGGATACTAATTGCTGCTTGCCCCTTGTGTGAGGAGGTTGGAGAGAGGTTGGAGAAGGGTATGTCCTACCCAAGTATACATGTACTACTAGTCGTCGTTTTTTGGCGTCTTTAAGGGACCTCATCGCTCACCCCCTCCCTATTCCAAAATCACCAGAACACGTCTACCTAGAGTACATAGCTGTGCTGTCTATGTGACGATCATTCTTGTGCCGCGAGCTCTTTACCTACGTCTTTTTGGAGCCCGTGCAATTCCCACTTTCCCGGAACCAGCTTTGTCCTCCAAGCGGCCTACCCCGAAATATCAACTTCGGTGTGGTAATTCCACCTGCTCACAGAATTTAAAAGCTAGACATCCCCACGCACACCTGAATCTTGCCCCACCACCGAGGTTTTCACGGGACTTTTAGATACATAGAGGAGCAAGGAGATAAAGTGGGTGTCCGAGCTTACAGCACATACGGCGTACATTTACATACAGCCAATCTCTGGGACGTTGACACGCCATTCCGCCTTTCGAAGATCGCAGCGCCCAACATACGCTGGTAACAAAGAATTCCGCACGCCTCTTGGCCAATTCCAAGTCACCGCCATAAACGGTGGTCCCCGTCAAAACGCTTGGGTCCGATTCGATCGCTAAAACCCAAATATACGATTCAAATCCCATCCCAACAACACATTCCCTGTCTTACTTAGGCTCCGTCGAGCTGGATCCCGTCGCCGCGGGTGTCGTCGTGTGTGGAATCGAACCAGCATTCGCCGTCTATAGTTAGGCCGTTTTGTTGACCCCCTTGACTTCCCTCAACCAAGGAAAAGCCTCCGCTGTGCCGCTGCCACAGGGCTCTTTGGGTGCGGCAGATTGATTAAAGATCAGCTACGGCTATCAAGGACCCACCCATTTTGTCATATATATATCTCCAGGCAGTCTCCCATGGAAGGTGGATTTATGGATTTATACGTCCCACCTTACGGGCCTCCTTCTGCATTCATGAGCACTTACGGTTCCTCGTCGTCTCACGACCATCCCACCTCACCTACGAGCACAAAAAAAGCCAGTCAGGTGTCCTTGCCAAAGCCTCCAACTTTTGCATCACGGCATGGCCGACGATTTCATGGCGATGAATCAATACCTTATTACTTGCCCTGTGATGTACAAGAGCTGAGCCGACAGTCTTTATTCCATGAGGTCCAACGTGAAGTATATGGGGGGTTATATTGTGCAGAATTCAGCGATAATAACATTCCGTGCAAAGTTCTAGAGCTTTGCTGTGGTACAGCGATATGGAGTGCAAGTGTGGCAGATGAATTTGCAGCCCGGGGAAGACCAGACGTTCAGTTCGTTGGTTTAGATATTGTTTCGGTGCACGCGGATATGAAGGGAGTCAACTTTACATTCGTCAAGCATAATTTTCAAGTGTTACCGCTCCCTTTTGCAGACGGAGAGTTTGATTACGTCTTTGGCCGGGAGATTTCAATGGCCACACCCATTAGTGATGCAAAGCAGATGACTGAGTGTGTACGAATCCTCAAACCAGGGGGGACCCTTGAGATTCAGTGTTGTATGTGTCCCGACTTCCTAATGCCGGAAGTCATTTATTGATATAGTTTATTCGGATAGCGGATTATTCCATTCGATCGCTACAGCGATCCCATATTACCTCCTATACTCCTGGTTCCAGTGCATACACGATGGTACCAACCACCCAATTTGCGAGCACCGCCGAAAACGCATACATCCACGCCTGGAACGAGCGGATAACAAAGATGCTGACGAAGAACAATCTATCGCCGGTGCCTTGTACACTCATCGGTCCTCAACTTTTGATGGAAGAGGAAATTGTAGGATTGCAATCGAAACGGGTAGCTCTACCGCTAGACGAGATATGGTGGGAAAGTCCCAACTCGGATTCAAAAGCACCGCATCTCACACGGGAAAAACGGATCAGCGCGGATGCTGCCAGCATCGAAAGTAGATCCGGAATTAACCGAAAAAGTAGTCAGTCAGCCACACGGCGTTCTTCGACATCTTCAGGATCCCTTCAGTCGCCGTTGACTGCCTCAGAAAAGGCTGTAAGGAATCTGGCAAAATTGACGTTTTCCCAATTAATTGAATCCCTTGAGCCTGTACTACGAGAAACAAACTCAATCCGGCAGGATGATTGGGATAATTGGTACAAAGAGCTCATGGTTGATTTCTTTGAAAATGGAGGACTGACGGGAGGGGAGTGTATGGAATTTGGGGCCTGGTGGGGAGTAAAATCAAAGTCGAGCTAGTTCGCCGACATTGCCTTATTTTCTGCGGGAGAATGGTTTTTTTTTTTTATTGATATCCATTTTATTGTTGAAATTGGAAGCGTGGTTTTGGAAGAATTGGGCGGCGGGTCTGTTTTGGGGATTTTTTTTACGGTGTATGCTCCTTTTGATGCTTAATGTTAGCGATGTTAGTTTGGTGTCTTTGTTTGGTGGGCTGGGTCGAATTGCCAACAAAGAGTCTTGGTAGGAATAAAGGAAGCAAATTGGAGGAGAAAAGTTTTTCCGGTGTCCGGCAGGTGGTGGTCTTTCTTTTGCGGTCGTGGCTAGCAAGGGGCGTTAATCTGAGCTTTTTTCTTCTTTCCTTCTTTCTCGCACCCAGTACTGGGCAACGAACGTACTGTAGGTATCCTAAACGTATGTATTTAGTTTTTCTAATCGAAGGATTACTCAAATGAAGAAAAAACTTCTTTAAGCAGTTTTTATTTTGGCTAATTTTTCATTCTGGATCGTATAAATATAATTGAGTGTAGCTACATGTATATGTATGTACCTACATGTATATTCTCTCTCTCGGCGCTCTGAGCTAATCCCGCACAGTCCAACACGCCAGTGTCGCCTGTTGTCAGATCATTTCATCGACATTTATTTTTGCCCATGGAACACCTATCTACTGTACTCTAGGTAACCTCTCAAGGGGAAGGTGACAGCTGTCTGAGACTCCCCGATCGGATTTTATTTTGGTTCTTTTGACGGTTAATAGGCACATTTTCCAGGCATTTAAGGTCGACCCCTGGATCGGGAATGGCGTTGGAAGCTTGCCGTGAGGAGATTAGACCAGGAATTGAACCCTGGGGTAATCCTAGGTTGACACTCTACCATGTAGAGAGTACCCACATGTATGTAACTGAGTACGAAGATGCACCATTGAGGCGTTGGGGCATGACTACCAAATACATGGGAATGTGAAGCAACGAATGCTAGGCTGCGGTATTCGCTGGTGATCTATTGGAGCGGAGAAGTGAACTGGATAATGCGTGCCTATTGGACGAAGGTTAAATAAAGATTATCGGGGAAGCCGTAGATACGGCAGAGTTTTTCTGCAGTTCTGCATGTAGGTAGAGTAGAGGTCCCTAGGCTTGGTAGCACACTTTCACTGCTATCCACTCGTTCTCTTAATCGCCCCCATGAAAAATTTCAGGCTTTACTTCCTTGCTAAAACTTAAACCGCGAAGGCTATCCACTGGTGAGAATGAGCCATAGGTATCTTAGAATAGGTACTAACCAATTTCACAGCGCGAGGACCTATGGCTAGCAGCCTCCGCTGATGCCGGTTCGATTCAGAAACAGGGCCATGAATTCTTTTTGTACGGTGAAGGTAAGTAGTGGAGAAGAAAGAAAAACGGGAGGGTTCAAACTGACTTTGTGGCTTAAACGAAATTACTGGTAGGCGGCGTCCTTCGTCATCTGAGATCGGTTTTACTTTTAACTGCAGCTGGCGGGTATCCTTACTGGTGGATGACACAGGTCTCAGAATTTGCGTCGGATTTCAGAAAGCGGGAAACTCCGTTCATCCAATCCTGACATCCTAGCCCATAAGGTCACCAGAATAGGAATAGCAGTCTTGAATTAGGTGAACTGGTCTTGATGCAAGTTTAGACGATTGTTTAATGTTTAAGGAGGTTCGGGGATGCTTGGATCACGGAGGGTTGTACGTAGGATACCTAGAAGGTTCAGCTGGGCAGAAGGCCGGCCACAAATCCCCACTTTCGCTGTGGTAGTCTAGAGCGAGTGATTGTTTATGATTTTACTAACTTAAATATCTTCTCGCTCAATCCCACTGGTCAGTTGGTGTCACAAGGTTAGAGATCGCGCTCACCTACATACCCATAAATTCCGTCCTCTGTAGAGTACCATCTATCCGATTTCTCTCTGTATCCTGCAGATTGTTATGCGGTTATTGTAACTACTGCAGTTGCAATTGCCTACAACACAACATGCAAGCGTTGGGTACATGTTATGATTAAGGATCTCATGTAACGTGGGGATGAGATCACCAAGGCCTAGGGCCAACCGTAGGGTTGGTTCGTGGGACGGCCTGGACCGGCACCGTCCGCCTTCTGCTAGCGCAATCTGAAACTACATACATGGCATGCAGTTGTATTGCCTAATATGCGTCGTTATCAACAACCATCAATTAACGTTGACTGTACTGAGCTGTGATGCTCTAACTCATCATTAACAAAAACAGGATTCTAGGTTGAATTGCAAAAAGCTTTCAGAACTTGATTATCTGTCGGATAAAACTGACATATAGGTACAATGTCCCTCGCCGGAAATCATCTGCAGGTGATTCAAGGCATACCTAAAATTCATTAGCTTACTTATACTAACGGACCAATATTTCATTGTAGATGATAATTAAGCTCCAAAAGCAAAAAACGAGTACGCGCTTCAACCTATGTAACGTGAGTTGGATCGGTTTGAAACGGCACTGCCTCGTTTTCTAGAGCATGGCATTGTCCACTGGGTGACCTTTCCCGCAGTGCAGAAATATACATGCATGCAAATATGTTTTGCATTTCAGTTACTACTACCTCATTGGGGAGGAGGACTTTACGGACTTTACCTAAGTTATGCAGACTCTTTTCACCGAGTGATATCAAATGACTTTGGGACCTTCCTGCACTTCAATCTAGATCGAGGTGATTACTCATCTACGCCTTTCGGCAGTGATAGTCGCAATATATAGCACAGTCATCTTCTTGCAGAATAGCCTCGAATTCCGCTTGAGTCCATCAGGAGGTAACGTAATGCCTCAGCTAAGTGCTCAAGGCGCTTGGGATGCATTTATATTATTGAAGGCAATTGCTTAACTGCGGTTGCTTTCTCAACATCTAGAGTGAGCTATCCACAATTTACCTAACACATCATGATCAGGGGATTACGAGTTTGAATTACTCTGGTGGCATAATGGCTTATACTTATGCTCGGCGACCGATATCTCGATGGTTAAGAAAGAAAAAATGCGTCATCACATAAACCTTGAGCGCATCGAGATAATCCATTAGAAAGCGTTACCCCGCAGTTCATATTGACCTTTATTAATCACTTTACTATACTCCGCTTTTACTTTGAGTTATTTACATCAACTAAATCATGATGGTGTCATAACTCCGCCTTAGGGAAGGTTTATTCTCCAGATAATTTCATATATATATAGGCGGAGAAGGTATACTTAATATGCCCCACAAGGTTTAGATGGGAATTTACGTAGTGACGATATCAATCGAGGTGCGTGTAAAGTCAGAAACAGTTGCATGGGGATGGATCTGTTACATTGCAGATGGTTATCGTCCGTCTCAAAGGATTTTACTATAGCTAGCGACGCCATAAAGTCTCTTTATCTCCGAACTTATATAGTAGTGCCGAGTGAAATATCAGTACAAAAGGACATTCCAGGTTTTACTCCTCTCGCGTATTCTTACAATTCCACCTGGCCGATATTTTAGTCGGCATCTCTTGTCCTTTATGGAAGAGATACGTCTCATAATCTGGAGATTTCGGCAATCTTGGTAGCTTGACACACCGAGTGATATCTTGTGAGTAAAATTCATCCTACCTTCTAACGTTATAATTACATTCCCATAGTAAATATTATTAACAGATTAAGAGGATTAAAACTCTTCTATTGGTTCATCAAAATATATAGACACATAGATACCACGATTGCAACCCATCCACCAGTTGTACCTACATGTACCTACATACAATCGGAGTAAAAAAAAAATTGATATTATGATTTCAGGATTCCCGTAGAAACAATGCCTGCTTGTTCATTTTGTGATGGCTTGAGGTAAGTATTGAATCGGCCTGATATTAGATTTCGAATATTTGTGAATAGGCCCAAGAAGTGACGGAATCATCAATCAATCAATCGGCTGCTAAGTTAGAGGTAGCAGGAAGACTGAGTGACAAACCATGATCAAAATACGAATTGCATCTATTTTTAGGCTGAAGCAAAGGTTTTCTGGGGGGGAGAAAAACGATTTAAACTACCTTACATGAACTTGATATCTCTATGAAATACACTCAGGTATTTAACCATTATAATATACTACAGACTGCCAAGTATGTACCTCCGGCGGGACTGCCAAGAAAAATCCCAGAGCCTCATTCCACTAAATATTGCACTTTAACCACTACTCCACGCATCAGAAAAGGCCTATTTATACCAGCCCCACCTCGAACAAAGCAATGGAGTCACCAGCGCCCGCACCAGCACTATCATTCCCCCCACAGACCTTCCAGAAGCTCTCACCTTCCTCATACCTTCTGCGCCATCTCCAAGCGACCCCACCAACCCGACCCTCTGGCAGATCGCCGAGTGCGTTCCGCGAACCAACAGTGCATACAAACTCATTATCCCATGCGCACGGGTCGGCAGTAGTGAGGACGGGAGATACAGCGGTAGTATGCGGTGTGCGCGCTGAGATTCTAAGTCTCAAGTATGGAGACGGAAAGTCTCAAGGAAGGGTCACGGTCTTGAGGAGCAACGAGGACGAGGAGTTGATGAACGACGAAGAGGACGGTGGTGAGGGCGAGCTTAGATCGAGGAACCTGATTGTAACAAATCTGGAATTGGGTATTTAATAACCTTCCTGTGCGCAACTCGAGAAGCCAATAACTAACAAGAACAGGCACTGGCTGCTCCCGCGACTACCACCCCGGACCCCCCTCAGACTTTGCGCAAACAACCACCTCACGCCTCCACCGCCTCATCTTGTCATCCACTTCCTCATTAATCTCACCATCCTCCCTCCGTATCACACATGATGACGAGATCAAGGCATACTGGGTCCTCTACATCGACGTCCTCTGCATCTCCCTCGACGGCAATGTCCTAGACACTGCTTGGGCCTCAATTATTGCCGCCCTACGCTCCACACGACTACCTCGCGCATTCTGGGATGCCGACTCAGAGAGTGTCTTGTGTGATCCTGAAATGAAGCTGGGACTGCAGTTGGGGCCGTTGTGCTTTACGGCAAGTTTTGGCGTTGTGAGTACGGGCGCAGAGGAAGATGGCGAAGAGCAAGATGGGAGCAAAGTCGTGATCCTATCGGATCCTGATGAGTTCGAGGAGAGCGTGTGTGAAGAGGCCGTGATGATCTGTATCAGGGAGGGAGGTGCCATTGCGAGAATTGAGAAGGGAGGTGGGCTGCTATGTGGAATGGAAGGGCTAGGAGAATGCGTCCGAAGGGCTAGGAGTAGATATGAGATTTGGGAGAAAGTAGTTAGAGACGCAGTATAAATATCTCGATAGTCTCAGTGAGCTAATTATGGGTTTCAAAAGTTATACAGCTAATGAGTTTTACAAGTTTAAATAAAAATATAGGATTGGATCAACTTAATATTTATTCTGACCAAATAAGTTTAAGAAATAGCCAAATTTCCTCAAAATCATTGACAAAAAACAGGAGCGGTGAAGAGACCGAGTGATATTCCATGAGGGTCAAATTTTCATTCTAAATCCAACATATACGTAGTATATCCAGTCTTCATCGTCGCCCCAATGTTTTCCATCCCTCCGTTTTATCAAAGCATTCGTGAATAGAGGATTCCCCGCGCGCCCGAGTTCGGAAAGGATCTAGCGCTATCATCCCCAAAGCTCAGATATATGTAGATGGCCTCCCCAATATCCGCGCTAGTATATTGGTTATTTACATATATGTGATGGTGCGCGGCCCAATGACCCCCCCGGCCCAAAACATACTAGAGGAAGAAAGAGTGGCCGGTTAAAAACCACTAGGAGTTATTTTTTACATGACCGAACAGTGCTTTATGTAGTTCTTCAAGACAAAAGACTTACGTGCCCCGGATACGCCCTGCTTTGAGCCTGTCCGGATCTAACGTGGTGGGGGGTTGAACGAGTGCAGTAGTATAGTCAAGAGAGCCGTTCAATTGAATCCCAATTTTATAATATTTGCTTTGATAGCTTTGGTCAAGCTTTAGTTTTAGGACAGTCTAACTAGTGTACGCTCTGGCCCCCGACCGCTGCCAATTCAGACGTAATTATAAACTTATAAGACCTTCAGTCCTAAAATGTGGCGGTGGTCATATGTTGACCCTACATACATCCACAGTACTAGAGCTCTCAACTTGCCTTCCTAGCTTTTACCGTTTTCGGATCCGAATTGTAGGGAGGTTAGGGTTAGGGTTGTCCAATGAAGATTGATAAGCCTTAAACCTCATGAAATTCTTTAACGGCGCTGCATAATACACCATTAAAACGATGACTCGCCTCCAAACACACTACGATATTCTCTCGCTCCCTCCCACCACCCCCTCTACCCCCCTCCCACCAAACATTCTCAAAAAGGCTTACCACCGTGCACTTCTCCTGCATCATCCTGACAAATCCCTGTCCCCAAGTACCAAGGCTGAATTCACGGTCGACCAGATCACAACTGCATACAATGTTCTGTCGACGCCGCATCTGCGAGCTGAGTATGATAAAAAACTTGGTGCAATGAATGGTGGGGAGACGGGTGATGATGGGAAGGTTCTGCAGGCTGTAGACTTAG